GTGGTCCAATGGTGGTTGGTTGTGGTGGTTGGTTGTGTGGTCCAGTGGTGGTTGGTTGTGTGGTCCAGTGGTGGTTGGTTGTGGTGGTCCAGTGGTGGTTGGTGGTGTGGTCCAGTGGTGGTTGGTTTTGGTGGTCCAGTGGTGGTTGGTTGTGTGGTCCAGTGGTGGTTGGTTGTGGTGATCCAGTGGTGGTTGGTGGTGTGGTCGAGTGGTGGTTGGTTGTGGTGGTCCAGTGGTGATGGTGGTGTGGTCCAGTGGTGGTTGGTTGTGTTGTCTAGTGGGGGTTGTGGTGGTCCAGTGGTGGTTGGTTGTGGTGGTCCAGTGGTGATTGGTTGTGGTGGTCCAGTGGTGGTTGGTTGTGGTGGTCCAGTGGTGGTTGGTTGTGGTAGTCCAGTGGTGGTTGGTTGTGTGGTCCAGTGGTGGTTGGTGCTGTGGTCCAGTGGGGGTTGTGGTGGTCCAGTGGTGGTTGGTTGTGGTGGTACAGTGGTGGTTGGTGGTGTGGTCCAGTGGTGGTTGGCGGTGTGGTCCAGTGGTGGTTGGTGCTGTGGTCCAGTGGGGGTTGTGGTGGTCCAGTGGTGGTTGGTGCTGTGGTCCAGTGGGGGTTGTGGTGGTCCAGTGGTGGTTGGTGGTGTGGTCCAGTGGGGGTTGTGGTGGTCCAGTGGTGGTTGGTGGTGTGATCCAGTGGTGGTTGATTGTGTGGTCCAGTGGTGGTTGATTGTGTGGTCCAGTGGTGGTTGGTTGTGTGGTCCAATGGTGGTTGGTTGTGGTGGTTGGTTGTGTGGTCCAGTGGTGGTTGGTTGTGTGGTCCAGTGGTGGTTGGTTGTGGTGGTCCAGTGGTGGTTGGTGGTGTGGTCCAGTGGTGGTTGGTGGTGTGGTCCAGTGGTGGTTGGTTTTGGTGGTCCAGTGGTGGTTGGTTGTGTGGTCCAGTGGTGGTTGGTTTTGGTGGTCCAGTGGTGGTTGGTTGTGTGGTCCAGTGGTGGTTGGTTGTGGTGGTCCAGTGGTGGTTGGTGGTGTGGTCCAGTGGTGGTTGGTTGTGTTGTCTAGTGGGGGTTGTGGTGGTCCAGTGGTGGTTGGTTGTGGTGGTCCAGTGGTGATTGGTTGTGGTGGTCCAGTGGTGGTTGGTTGTGGTGGTCCAGTGGTGGTTGGTTGTGGTGGTCCAGTGGTGGTTGGTTGTGTGGTCCAGTGGTGGTTGGTTGTGTGGTCCAGTGGTGGTTGGTTGTGTGGTCCAGTGGTGGTTGGTTGTGTGGTCTAATGGGGGTTGTGGTGGTCCAGTGATGGTTGGTGGTGTGGTCCAGTGGTGGTTGGTTGTGCTGGTCCAGTGGTGGTTGGTTGTGGTGGTCCAATGGTGTGTGGTTGTGTGATCCAGTGGTGGTTTGTTGTGGTGGTCCAGTGGTGGTTGTGTGGTCCAGTGGTGGTTGGTTGTGGTGGTCCAGTGGTGGTTGTGTGGTTCAGTGGTGGTTGGTTGTGGTGGTCCAGTGGTGGTTGGTTTTGGTGGTCCAATGGTGTGTGGTTGTGTGGTCCAGTGGTGGTTGTGTGGTCCAGTGGTGGTTGGTTGTGGTGGTCCAGTGGTGGTTGGTTGTGGTGGTCCAGTGGTGGTTGGTTGCGGTGGTCCAGTGGTGGTTGGTTGTGGTGGTCCAGTGGTGGTTGGTTGTGGTGGTCCAGTGGTGGTTGGTTGTGGTGGTCCAGTGGTGGTCCAGTGGTGGTTGGTTGTGGTGGTCCAGTGGTGGTTGGTTGCGGTGGTCCAGTGGTGGTTGGTTGTGGTGGTCTAGTGGTTGTTGGTTGTGTTGGTCCAGTGGTTGTTGGTTGTGGTGGTCCAGTGGTGGTTGGTTGTGGTGGTCCAATGGTGGTTGGTTGTGTGGTCTAGTGGGGGTTGTGGTGGTCCAGTGATGGTTGGTGGTGTGGTCCAGTGGTGGTTGGTTGTGATGGTCCAATGGTGGTTGGTTGTGGTGGTCCAGTGGTGGTTGATTGTGGTGGTCCAGTGGTGGTTGATTGTGGTGGTCCAGTTGTGGTTGATTGTGGTGGTCCAGTGGTGGTTGGTGGTGTGGTCCAGTGGTGGTTGGTGGTGTGGTTCAGTGGTGGTTGGTTGTGGTGGTCCAGTGGTGGTTGGTTGTGGTGGTCCAGTGGTGGTTGGTGGTGTGGTCCAGTGGTGGTTGGTGGTGTGGTCCAGTGGTTGGTTGTGTGGTTCAGTGGTGGTTGGTGGTGTGGTCCAGTGGTGGTCCAGTGGTGGTTGGTGATGTGGTCCAGTGGTGGTTGGTGGTGTGGTCCAGTGGTGATTGGTGGTGTGGTCCAGTGGTGGTTGGTGGTGTGGTCCAGTGGTGGTTGGTTGTGTAGTCCAGTGGTGGTTGATTGTGGTGGTTGGTGGTGTGGTCCAGTGGTGGCCACAGCATGTATACCCCACCACTGTACAGAGCCACAGCATGTATATCCCACCACTGTACAGTCACAGCATGTATACACTGTACAGAGCCACAGCATGTATACTCCACCACTGTACAGAGTCACAGCATGTATACACTGTACAGAGCCACAGCATGTATACTCCACCACTGTACAGAGTCACAGCATGTATACACTGTACAGAGCCACAGCATGTATACACTGTACAGAGCCACAGCATGTATACTCCACTGTACAGAGCCACAGTATGTATACCCCCACAGTACAGAGCCACAGCATGTATACCCCACCACTGTACAGAGCCACAGCATGTATACCCCACCACTGTACAGAGCCACAGCATGTATACCCCACCACTGTACAGAGCCACAGCATGTATACCCCACCACTGTACAGAGCCACAGCATGTATACCCCATCACTGTACAGAGCCACAGCATATATACCCCACCACAGTACAGTCCCACAGCATGTATACCCCACCACTGTACAGAGCCACAGCATATATACCCCACCACAGTACAGAGCCACAGCATGTATACCCCACCACTGCACAGAGCCACAGCATGTCTACTCCACTGCACAGAGCCACAGCATGTATACCCCCACAGTACAGAGCCACAGCATGTATATCCCACCACTGTACAGAGCCACATCATGTATACCCCACCACTGTACAGAGCCACAGCATGTATACCCCATCACTGTACAGAGCCACAGCATGTATACCCCACCACAGTACAGAGCCACAGCATGTATACCCCACCACAGTACAGAGCCACAGCATGTATACCCCACCACAGTTCAGAGCCACAGCATGTATACCCCACCACAGTACAAAGCCACAGCATGTATAGCCCGCCACTGTACAGAGCCACAGCATGTATACCCCACCACAGTACAGAGCCACAGCATGTATACCCCACCACAGTACAGAGCCACAGCATGTATAGCCCACCACTGTACAGAGCCACAGCATGTATACCCCACCACAGTACAGAGCCACAGCATGTATACCCCACCACAGTACAGAGCCACAGCATGTATACCCCACCACTGTACAGAGCCACAGCATGTATACCCCACCACAGTACAGAGCCACAGCATGTATACACCACTGTACAGAGCCACAGCATGTATACCCCACCACAGTACAGAGCCACAGCATGTATACACCACCACTGTACAGAGCCACAGCATGTATACCCCATCACAGTACAGAGCCACAGCATGTATACCCCATCACAGTACAGAGCCACAGCATGTATACACCACTGTACAGAGCCACAGCATGTATACCCCACAACAGTACAGAGCCACAGCATGTATACCCCACCACAGTACAGAGCCACAGCATGTATACCCCATCACTGTACAGAGCCACAGCATGTATATCCCACCACAGTACAGAGCCACAGCATGTATACCCCACCACAGCATGTATACCCCACCACAGCATGTATACCCCACCACAGTACAGAGCCACAGCATGTATACCCCACCACTGTACAGAGCCACAGCATGTATACCCCACCACAGCATGTATACCCCACCACTGTACAGAGCCACAGCATGTATACACCACCACAGTACAGAGCCACAGCATGTATACCCCACCACTGTACAGAGCCACAGCATGTATACCCCACCACTGTACAGAGCCACAGCATGTATACCCCACCACAGTACAGAGCCACAGCATGTATACCCCACCACTGTACAGAGCCACAGCATGTATACACCACCACTGTACAGAGCCACAGCATGTATACCCCACCACAGTACAGAGCCACAGCATGTATACACCACCACTGTACAGAGCCACAGCATGTATACCCCACCACAGTACAGAGCCACAGCATGTATACCCTACCACTGTACAGAGCCACAGCATGTATACACCACCACTGTACAGAGCCACAGCATGTATACACCACAACAGTACAGAGCCACAGCATGTATACACCACCACTGTACAGAGCCACAGCATGTATACCCCATCACTGTACAGAGCCACAGCATGTATACACCACCACTGTACAGAGCCACAGCATGTATACCCCATCACTGTACAGAGCCACAGCATGTATACCCCACCACAGCATGTATACCCCACCACAGCATGTATACCCCACCACTGTACAGAGCCACAGCATGTATACCCCACCACAGCATGTATACCCCACCACTGTACAGAGCCACAGCATGTATACCCCACCACAGTACAGAGCCACAGCATGTATACCCCACCACAGTACAGAGCCACAGCATGTATACCCCACCACATTACAGAGAGACACGGGAGACGGCTCTATCATAGCTAGTGGGTATTTAAGGAGTGTTGACAACGTGCCCACGTTGTGCCCACAGGGGCTGCATACCCACTGAGGACGGGTTCGTGCCCTGCCTCCACTATCCGTGCCCTCTGGCGCTGATATTACTAACATTGCCGTAAAATGGTCAGAGCAATCAGGTTGTTAGTACCTGGACCTTGACAAGCCACACACGGCCTTAATGGCTCCCGGGTATATCTTGTTCTTCATGTTATATGAGTATATCTGGGTATAATAACTTTATATTTGTATTTAGTATTTGTGTCTGCAGACTGGAGCTGTATCATACACGTTCTTAATACTTCCCCAGTGTTCTCGGTCGTGTGGTAAATTCCAGGTACTCAGGTACGGTAAAAATGAGGACCTTAAACATAATACAAGGTACAAAACACAATAAAATTTGCCCATAGTAGGAAAGCAACATGTAACGGATTTGGGACTAATGATGTCTGACGACCTAACGTTTAGGGAGCATAACCAAGCAAATATTGCGGCAGCCAGGAAAATGATGGGATGGATTACGAGAACCTTCAAGTCCAGGGATCCCATCACAATGGTTGTACTCTTCAAGTCACTTGTGTTGTCCCGTCTTGAGTACTGCTCAGTACTCACTTCCCCTTCAGAGCAGGAGAGATTGCTGGAATAGAGGGAATACAGAGAACATATACGGCACGCATAGACGAGATAAAGCACCTAAATTATTGGGATCGTCTCAAAGCTCTCCAAATGTACTCACTAGAAAGGAGACGAGAGAGATACCAAATAATATACACGTGGAAAATACTGGAGGGACAGGTACCAAATCTACACAGTAAAATAACAACGTACTGGAGTGAACGATATGGAAGAAAATGCAGAATAGAACCAGTGAAGAGCAGAGGTGCCATAGGCACAATCAGAGAACACTGTATAAACATCAGAGGTCCACGGTTGTTCAACGTCCTCCCAGCGAGCATAAGAAATATTGCCGGAACAACCGTGGACATCTTCAAGAGAAAACTAAACTGTTTCCTTCAAGGAGTTCCGGACCAACCGGGCTGTGGTGGGTATGTGGGCCTGCGGGCCGTTCCAAGCAACAGCCTGGTGGACCAAACTCTCACAAGTCAAGCCTGGCCTCGGGCCGGGCTTGGGGAGAAGAAGAACTCCTAGAACCCCGTCAAGTAGAACCGCAAAATTTACGTTTTCTATGCATTGGCCTCGATGGGTTAAGTGGGTTGCTTGGGTTCTTACCTTTATCGTTAGACAAAGCAGTTACTTTTATTCAGAGTTACATATCGAGATAAATATCTGGACTAGGTTTACCAGCATGAAGTATGAACTACGTTGGAAACACTCCATGCTGCCCTTCTGGAGAGTTGATAGTGGCTTGCATAGATCATTGACACAGCTGTATTGTGACCTGGTACAGTGGACCCTGGTGTATTGTGACCTCGTTACAGTGTTCATCCTTGTAGGTCCCCCCCCCTTCCCATACAAGTACCATCACCCCCCCCCCTCCCCATCTCCCCCTACACGAACCATCTCCCCCCTCCCCAGTTACACCAAGACGGTCAACACCTCCACTATGTGAGGAACTCCTCAAGGAGCGCTTATGAGGAGCGGTACTGTGAAACAAGGCCATTGTCCCTTGAATAAGGGGCCCCCGGGCCCTCTGCAACACCGTCAAGATAACATCACTAATGCAACCCCTCCTCTACAGTGACGGCCGCTTGCAACACCCCCGAGGCGCCAACAACAAGTATTGGTGGACCTCTGTTGTGATCCTCTCCACCAATCAGCGGTCAGCTCTCAACAGTCGCCCCATGTTTTGATGTGACGTCATTGGGGCACAGAGCTGTGATTGGTGGAGAAGGTCCTGTATTGTTGATCATGAGCTTCTCCTTTCATATGTTGATAGATCACAACCTTCCGCAAGACGATAGATCACAACCTTCCACATGTTGATAGATCACAACCTTCCACATGTTGATAGATCACAACCTTCCACATGTTGATAGATCACAACCTTCCACATGTTGATAGATCACAACCTTCCACATGTTGATAGATCACAACCTTCCACATGTTGATAGATCACGACCTTCCACATGTTGATAGATCACGACCTTCCACATGTTGATAGATCACGACCTTCCACATGTTGATAGATCACAACCTTCCACAAGACGATAGATCACAACCTTCCACAAGACGATAGATCACAACCTTCCACAAGACGATAGATCACAACCTTCCACAAGACGATAGATCACAACCTTCCACAAGACGATAGATCACAACCTTCCACAAGACGATAGATCACAACCTTCCACAAGACGATAGATCACAACCTTCCACAAGAGATAGACCTTCCACAAGACGATAGATCACAACCTTCCACAAGACGATAGATCACAACCTTCCACAAGACGATAGATCACAACCTTCCACAAGACGATAGATCACAACCTTCCACAAGACGATAGATCACAACCTTCCACAAGACGATAGATCACAACCTTCCACAAGACGATAGATCACAACCTTCCACAAGACGATAGATCACAACCTTCCACAAGACGATAGATCACAACCTTCCACAAGACGATAGATCACAACCTTCCACAAGACGATAGATCACAACCTTCCACAAGACGATAGATCACAACCTTCCACAAGACGATAGATCACAACCTTCCACAAGACGATAGATCACAACCTTCCACAAGACGATAGATCACAACCTTCCACAAGACGATAGATCACAACCTTCCACAAGACGATAGATCACAACCTTCCACAAGATCGTAATAGATCTCAAGTTCAGGATCATCATCTTCCTTAATGGCCAGATACGTCAAGGGTTCGTATCCCAACCCCACTACCCTCTCCTCCCTCGTCCTTCTCTTAACATTCTAGTTGATATACATACACATTTCTCCCTGTATACATGCAGTATGATACCATACATACAATACGTTTATGACTACGTAAATATACGCTGCAATAGACATTCAGACAATGCAACTGAAGGCTGCAATCAACCTCAAAGTGGATAATCACAGTGAAGGTACTACAATGGAACTGCAGTGGAGTTCGCAGTATGATTAGTGACATCATACAGTAGGTCGGTGAAGACCAAACTGACGTCATACAGGAGACGCTGGTGGGTGGTGACTTCAACCCCCAAGACTGGGCGGTTGTTGCAAGTACCCCCTGCCCTCGGGGGGGGGGGGGGAAGAAAACGGGACCTTATTTCTTATGTTGGTAACAATATTGTAATATCTGTATCTGTCTCTGTCTGTCTGTCTCTCTCTCTGTCTCTCTCTCTCTCTCTGTCTCTGTCTCTGTCTCTGTCTCTGTCTCTCTGTCTCTCTGTCTCTCTGTCTCTCTGTCTCTCTGTCTCTCTGTCTCTCTGTCTCTCTGTCTCTCTCTCTCTCTCTCTCTCTCTCTCTCTCTCTCTCTCTCTCTCTCTCTCTCTCTCTCTCTCTCTCACTGCAGCGAGCAGTGTTGCCCTAGGTCTTTCGGCGCGGATTTTTACCCCCCCCCCCCACACCTCCAACCCCCTCCCTGCCCCCACATGCCCCCCCCCACCTCCAACCCCCTCCCTGCCCCCACATGCCCCCCCCCCCACCTCCAAACACTCCCCCTCACCCCACTGTTGCCCAGACGCCGCCAACCATGCAGCAGTGTTGACCTATACGAGACCAACCAATGCAACATTTCAATGAATATTGAATTGAAATTGAAATAGCAAAACTTGTTCAAACGTAAGTTCACACATCAGATGTGAGACATCCATGTATGTTGAGATACATGTTATTTCCCTGTAAGGGACGGGCTGGACGGTACAGCGACGGTCTCGCTTCATGTAGGTCGGCGTTCGATTCCCGACCGTCCACCAAGTGGTTGGCTACCATTCCTTGCCCCCCGTCCCATCCCAAATCCTTATCCTGACCCCCTTCCCAGTGCTATATAGTCGTAGTGCCTTAGCGCTTTTCCTTAATTATTCCTGCCCCCCTCTCCCCTTTTCTTTCACCCTATGCCCCTGTTACCTAGCAGTAAAATAGGTACCTGGGTGTTAGTCAGCTGTCACGGGCTGCTTCCTGGGGGTGGAGGCCTGGTCGAGGACCGGGCCGCGGGGACACTAAAGCCTCGAAATTATCTCAAGATAACCTCAAGATAACCTCCCCCCCTCCTATTGGCCCATACGAGGCAGCTCCTACTGACCACACCCACTAATAAGGTCCAATCCAATGCTTAGACATTTCCAATCAACTTGCTTGCAAGGTATAGCTAAGCAACTTGTTCCAAACATCTGTAACCGGTAATCAACCACAGTTGTCCATTTCCTAACTTGAAACAACTTGAGTCCATTGTTTAGTGCTGTAACTTGGGTTGATTATCCGTAACTTGGGTTGATTATCCGTAACTTGGGTTGATTATCCGTAACTTGGGTTGATTATCCGTAACTTGGGTTGATTATCTATGTTTACTCAAGTGATCCTTTTCTTTGATTTGTCTACTTCAGTCGTGTCCATGTTGGGTGTAGTCCCCTGGTAGAGTGTCCATGTTGGGTGTAGTCCCCTGGTAGTGTGTCCATGTTGGGTGTAGTCCCCTGGTAGTGTGTCCATGTTGGGTGTAGTCCCCTGGTAGAGTGTCCATGTTGGGTGTAGTCCCCCTGGTGGAGTGTCCATGTTGGGTGTAGTCCCCTGGTAGTGTGTCCATGTTGGGTGTAGTCCCCCTGGTAGTGTGTCCATGTTGGGTGTAGTCCCCTGGTAGTGTGTCCATGTTGGGTGTAGTCCCCCTGGTAGAGTGTCCATGTTGGGTGTAGTCCCCTGGTAGTGTGTCCATGTTGGGTGTAGTCCCCTGGTAGTGTGTCCATGTTGGGTGTAGTCCCCCTGGTAGTGTGTCCATGTTGGGTGTAGTCCCCCTGGTAGTGTGTCCATGTTGGGTGTAGTCCCCCTGGTAGTGTGTCCATGTTGGGTGTAGTCCCCCTGGTAGTGTGTCCATGTTGGGTGTAGTCCCCCTGGTGGAGTGTCCATGTTGGGTGTAGTCCCCCTGGTGGAGTGTCCATGTTGGGTGTAGTCCCCTGGTAGTGTGTCCATGTTGGGTGTAGTCCCCCTGGTAGTGTGTCCATGTTGGGTGTAGTCCCCTGGTAGTGTGTCCATGTTGGGTGTAGTCCCCTGGTAGTGTGTCCATGTTGGGTGTAGTCCCCCTGGTAGTGTGTCCATGTTGGGTGTAGTCCCCCTGGTAGTGTGTCCATGTTGGGTGTAGTCCCCCTGGTAGTGTGTCCATGTTGGGTGTAGTCCCCCTGGTAGTGTGTCCATGTTGGGTGTAGTCCCCCTGGTAGTGTGTCCATGTTGGGTGTAGTCCCCCTGGTAGTGTGTCCATGTTGGGTGTAGTCCCCCTGGTAGAGTGTCCATGTTGGGTGTAGTCCCCCTGGTAGTGTGTCCATGTTGGGTGTAGTCCCCTGGTAGAGTGTCCATGTTGGGTGTAGTCCCCTGGTAGTGTGTCCATGTTGGGTGTAGTCCCCTGGTGGAGTGTCCATGTTGGGTGTAGTCCCCCTGGTAGTGTGTCCATGTTGGGTGTAGTCCCCCTGGTAGTGTGTCCATGTTGGGTGTAGTCCCCCTGGTAGTGTGTCCATGTTGGGTGTAGTCCCCCTGGTGGAGTGTCCATGTTGGGTGTAGTCCCCTGGTAGTGTGTCCATGTTGGGTGTAGTCCCCCTGGTAGTGTGTCCATGTTGGGTGTAGTCCCCTGGTAGTGTGTCCATGTTGGGTGTAGTCCCCTGGTAGTGTGTCCATGTTGGGTGTAGTCCCCCTGGTAGTGTGTCCATGTTGGGTGTAGTCCCCTGGTAGTGTGTCCATGTTGGGTGTAGTCCCCCTGGTAGTGTGTCCATGTTGGGTGTAGTCCCCCTGGTAGTGTGTCCATGTTGGGTGTAGTCCCCCTGGTAGTGTGTCCATGTTGGGTGTAGTCCCCCTGGTGGAGTGTCCATGTTGGGTGTAGTCCCCTGGTAGTGTGTCCATGTTGGGTGTAGTCCCCCTGGTAGTGTGTCCATGTTGGGTGTAGTCCCCTGGTAGTGTGTCCATGTTGGGTGTAGTCCCCTGGTAGTGTGTCCATGTTGGGTGTAGTCCCCCTGGTAGTGTGTCCATGTTGGGTGTAGTCCCCCTGGTAGTGTGTCCATGTTGGGTGTAGTCCCCCTGGTAGTGTGTCCATGTTGGGTGTAGTCCCCCTGGTAGTGTGTCCATGTTGGGTGTAGTCCCCCTGGTAGTGTGTCCATGTTGGGTGTAGTCCCCCTGGTAGTGTGTCCATGTTGGGTGTAGTCCCCCTGGTAGTGTGTCCATGTTGGGTGTAGTCCCCTGGTAGAGTGTCCATGTTGGGTGTAGTCCCCTGGTAGTGTGTCCATGTTGGGTGTAGTCCCCTGGTGGAGTGTCCATGTAGGGTGTAGTCCCCCTGGTAGTGTGTCCATGTTGGGTGTAGTCCCCCTGGTAGAGTGTCCATGTTGGGTGTAGTCCCCCTGGTGGAGTGTCCATGTTGGGTGTAGTCCCCCTGGTAGTGTGTCCATGTTGGGTGTAGTCCCCTGGTAGAGTGTCCATGTTGGGTGTAGTCCCCTGGTAGTGTCCATGTTGGGTGTAGTCCCCTGGTAGAGTGTCCATGTTGGGTGTAGTCCCCTGGTAGAGTGTCCATGTTGGGTGTAGTCCCCTGGTAGAGTGTCCATGTTGGGTGTAGTCCCCTGGTAGAGTGTCCATGTTGGGTGTAGTCCCCTGGTAGTGTGTCCATGTTGGGTGTAGTCCCCTGGTAGAGTGTCCATGTTGGGTGTAGTCCCCCTGGTGGAGTGTCCATGTTGGGTGTAGTCCCCCTGGTAGTGTGTCCATGTTGGGTGTAGTCCCCCTGGTAGTGTGTCCATGTTGGGTGTAGTCCCCTGGTAGTGTGTCCATGTTGGGTGTAGTCCCCTGGTAGTGTGTCCATGTTGGGTGTAGTCCCCTGGTAGTGTGTCCATGTTGGGTGTAGTCCCCTGGTAGAGTGTCCATGTTGGGTGTAGTCCCCTGGTAGAGTGTCCATGTTGGGTGTAGTCCCCTGGTAGTGTGTCCATGTTGGGTGTAGTCCCCTGGTAGTGTGTCCATGTTGGGTGTAGTCCCCCTGGTAGAGTGTCTATGTTGGGTGTAGTCCCCTGGTAGTGTGTCCATGTTGGGTGTAGTCCCCTGGTAGTGTGTCCATGTTGGGTGTAGTCCCCTGGTAGTGTGTCCATGTTGGGTGTAGTCCCCTGGTAGTGTGTCCATGTTGGGTGTAGTCCCCCTGGTAGAGTGTCCATGTTGGGTGTAGTCCCCTGGTAGAGTGTCCATGTTGGGTGTAGTTGGGTGTACATCTCTTTGGTTAGGGTTTAATGCTATATAAATATATATATATAATATATATATATATATATATATATATATATATATATATATATATATATATATATATATATATATATATATATATATATATATCTCACATTTTTGGATCATTTATGCTCCTGTCTGGACTACGAATCGCGGTGAATGTCAACTTTTCTCAGTCAAACTTCCTCATTTAAGCAAAGTTTAGGTGGTATCCAGTCCCGATATTTTCTGGCCCAATGGTTACAGCCCAACCCTTGCTCCCTCCCTCCCTCCCATCTGCAGTTCAATGATCAAGAGCGGGCTTGAGAACGCCGTCACAGCAACACAGCATCAAGAATGCAGGAATGCAAGCATGCACGTGATTCAATGCACTCTCGGCTGCAACACTACATCCCCCCCTCCCCTAACCCCCCATTCTCCAGCCTTAAGAAACATTTAACCTTCACATGCTGTATGAAACTCGTTCACCGGCTGTTGTAAACGTTCCTACGAGTCCCTATTTCCCTCCCCCTGAATCCCCCCCTCCCCTAACCCCCCATTCTCCAGCCTTAAGAAACATTTAACCTTCACATGCTGTATGAAACTCGTTCACCGGCTGTTGTAAACGTCCCTACGAGTCCCTATTTCCCTCTTGAATCAGTCTCCTATTTTCCCCAAGACACGCGGCACCTGAGGACCTGTGGTGGTATATGAGGTTAATGAATGTGTTCTAGCGGGTTGTGATGGTTG